CTCTCTGTGAAAGCTTGAGAAAATGTTTTTTCTCTCCATGTGACTCTCCCCAGACTCTTTCCCCATATTATAATCAGGTTTTTAGTCTTTTTCTAATGCTGGGCTTTGAGAGTTCTTATATTCTTGATACAAGTCTTTAGACAAGTGATTTGAAAATATTTTCTCCCAGTGAGTAGCTAGTTTTAACTGCATCTTTCCTGGAGTCAGACGCACTACTGTTGTGCCACGAGGTCCTTAACTGCATCTTTCCTAAAGCAAAAATTTTAATTTTTAAATTTTTTTTTTGTATTGAAAAAAACTGATAGGGCTGGTCAAATAGCTCAGTGGATCAAAGCACCTGCAAACAGGCTCAGGGGCTAGGGGTTTGATCCCCAGGCCTGCCATGCTGGCCCTGCCCTGGGGTGTGCTGAGACAGCAATTGAGACTGGGCATAGTGGTACATGCCTGTAATCCCAGCTCTTGGGAGGCTGCAAACAGGTGAATCACTATGAGTTTGATCTAGTAGTGAGACCCTGAACACCCTGTAGACCCTTCCCTAAAATACAAAAAAATAAGAAAATCTAACTCATGACCTTGAGCTTGCCAGGCAAGCCTCTGCTGCTGAGTTACATCCTCAGCCCCCAAATTAAAATCTCGTTGAAGCTCAATTGATATTTTTTCCTTTATGCCTCATACTTTCGGTCTCATGTCTAAACATCTTTGCCTTACCCCAGGCCATCAAAATTGTCTCCTGTCTTTTAAAGTTTCCTGTTTTTATATGTAGGTCTATGAAACATTTTGAGTTAATGTTGTACAAGGTGTGAATTTTATTTTTTTTTAATTAAAATAGAAACTCAGTGGCCTACCAAGCCTGGTTTTATACATTTCTTTCTTTTCTTTTTCTTTTTTTTTTTTTTTTTTTGCAGAACCAGGGATTGAACTCAGGCCCTTGTGCTTGCCAGCGAAGCACTTATTCCACTGAGCCATTTCCCCGGCCCCTATAGATTTCACTTAATGCCTCTTCTAAATTCACTGCAAGGTGTGAATTTTACGTTGAGGCCCATTTGCTTGGACAAGGGTTTCTGATTATCCCAGTTACCAAAATGTGTCTTGCTCCTGCTGCCTCTGTGGCTTAGCTCAAATCCATGGCTTTTCTTTTGTGAGTGTTTTCTGGATGTTGATCTCTTATTGCTCTGTCACTTGCCAGTGCCACCTTGTCTTAGCTCTATCCTAAGCCATAAATTAGGTAGTGTTATTTTTCCAGTTTAATTCTTTTTCAAAGTTGTTTTAATAAAAATTTTTCTTTTCTTATAGTTCCCTTGCTTTTTCCCATAAATTCTCAGATCACACTGTTTATGTCTGCTGAAACTTCTATTTAAATTAGTAAGTAATCTGGAGAAATTAATATTTTTATATATTGAGTTTTCTAAGGTTCCAAGACAGGAGCACAGTTTCTTTAAATTGTGTTTTGCTTTCCTTTATTTCCTTCCATTGTTGTGTGGTTGTCAGATACTGATCCTGGATAAATTGTGTTAAATTTTTTATGGCACTAAGGATTGAACCCAGGGCCTTTGCTACATTCTTAATCTTTTTCTTATTTTTTACATTTTGAAGCAGGTTCTTGCTAAATTATGAAATTGCCAAGGGCCAGGGAGATAGCTCATTAGCAAAAGTGCCTGCCTGGCAAGCCCAAGTTGCATCCCTTATACTGCAAAAGAAAGAAGGAAAGAAAGAAAGGAAGGAAGGAAGGAAGGAAGGAAGGAAGGAAGGAAGGAAGGAAGGAAGGAAGGAGAAGGGAAGGGAAGGAAGGAAGGAAGAGAAAGAAAGAAAGAAAGCAAGTAAGCAAGCAAGCCCATGCAGGTCCCAAACTTGTAATCGTGCCATAGTGTCTCAGAGTACTGGAGTTACAGGTGTGAGCTACCACTGCTTTCCTATTTTGTTAGATTTGTATTCAACTTTTTCATTCTTTTGGAGCTATTTATTTATTTTATCTTATGTTTTTTGTGCAACCGGGGATTGAACTCAGGCCTTGTGCTTGCCAGGGAAGCACTTATTCCACTGAGCCATCTCCCCGGCCCCCCCAGCTCTTATGTACTAAGCTCAGGTTATAAACTTGAGACCTTTTCTCACTCATTATCATGTTTATTCAATGCTATAAATCTCCTTCTAAGTACTTTTGTTGCCTTACTATCTTTATTATTTATCTTTGTTTCTGGATCTTTCAATGTATAGTATAATTGCCAGAATTCCTCTTTGACTCATGATTAGACTTATGCGATTACTTCACAATGTGTGGATTTCTCCGTTATCTTTCTGTTCTTGGCATCTAGTTTAATTCCATTCTGTTTGTGGAATCTGCTAATAGCTAAGTACTGTGCATACTTCTGATTTAAAAATACTTTTTTTTTTTTTTTTGCCACGTACGGTGACACAGGCCTGTAATACCAGCATTAGGGAAGCTAAGGCTGGAGGATCCCCATTAGTTCAAGGCCAATCTATGCCACATTATGAATTCAGGGCTCTCCTGGACTACATAGTGAGACCCCGTCTCAAAAAACCAAAATTAAATTAAATTAAATTTCAAAACACATTTTTGTGTCAATTTCATGAGCATTACTGTTTAGGGTGATAACTACAATCTTTTGATTGTAATAGAAATGGCAATAAATGATACAGTAATATATAGAGTTGTATCAATTTTACACAATCTAATTGTTTTCTTTTTGTTAGGTGGCCTGACTGATAGCTTGGGTAATTTGAAGAACCTCAGGAAGCTGATACTGGGTAACATCAAGATGAATGAAGAAGATGCTGTAAACTTAGGTCAGATTTTGTTTTCTGTAATGTTTTTTATTAATGTAAGTATGATAATAAGAATAGTTAGCTTAAGAGTCCTATATTAGTCACCTTTCTGTTTAGTTTTGTCTTTCTGAGACAGGGTCTAGCTATGCAGTTCAGGCTAGCCTTGAGCTCACTTTGCAGCACAGGCTGGTCTTTAACCCACAACGTCCTCCTGCCTCAGTCTCCCAAGTGCTGGGATTACAGAAAGGTACCACCATGCCTGCCTTTCTTTCTTTTCTTTCTTTCTTTCTTTCTTTCTTTCTTTCTTTCTTTCTTTCTTTCCTTCTTTCCTTCTTTCCTTCTTTCCTTCTTTCCTTCTTTCCTTCTTTCCTTCTTTCCTTCTTTCCTTCTTTCCTTCTTTCCTTCTTTCCTTCCTTCCTTCCTTCCTTCCTTCCTTCCTTCCT